CCTGGCCGACTAGTCTTTACCTTCAGCGCCTCAGCTTGACCCCGCCGCAGAACAAACCGGGCAGCCATGGCGTAGGCGTGGGCGGGCCGACGTCGCTCTGAAGGACGCGCCCTGCGCGCCCACGCCGGTTGAGGACCCGCCTTCAAAGCCAACTGAGCCCATCACAGGCTAGTAGGACCAGGGCGGAGCCATAGGTATGCGCGCGCATCCCCAGCATTTTCCTGGTTCCCAGTGCACCGCCCTGAAGTCACACCCCCAGAGCAGAGGCCTCCAATCACGGGCAGGAGCGCGAAGCCCCGCCCCCGCAGGTGCTGACCTTGGGAGGCGCGGGGCGTTTGCCATCTGCTGTTCTCCCCCAGGATGGTCTTCAACTGGAGGTGACCCTCCTGTCTCAGCCTCTTGAGAATTGGGATTACTGGCGTGCTCCCCCACGTCTGCCTCTTCGAAAACACTCATACCTTCGTCCTTGCCACTTTCTGAAGCAGCTCTGGAGTCTTTTTTTCCTGAGTATCTTTATGAGGTGTGACATAAATGCTGCTTTCACAGGCCATCCAACAGAAAGGCAGCTCGTGAAAACATGGCGCTGTATCCTCGTCCATTTTATTCACCAGCTCTGGCCCTGAGTGACTTCCGGCGCTTCCCCACAGTCAAATAACCGCGGGGAAACTTTTTTTTTTACAGCACTTTTCGATCCCACCTGGTTGTTGGCAGTGCTCCGCTCTCTCGGTGTCTGTGGAGGGTAGGTCAGAACGTCCACCTGGCTGCCTCTCCCTTCTCTACCTTTAGCCTTTCAGCCTTCAATTGGAATATCCCCCAGAGCCGCAGCCCTACAAAGCGTGCCCTTGGAGTTTCTGGGCCCTTTTTGATCCTCCTGTGGACACTGCGGGTTTTCAGGTATGGCGGGACAATGTCTCTGGTGCCAGCCTCTCTCTAGCTGCAGCTGCAGCGTCTGATCAGACTCTCACCCGTGTCCCGTGGGCACCACCACTCACTGCCCATTGGGCAGGCCTGGGCTCGTGTTGGGCCTGGGCCATCGCTAAGACCAGGTTAGGCAGCTTAGAAGTGGAAGCTTTCTGTCATCTCTGTGTTTATCAGTGCAAACACCTTGCCCCAAGGGGAGCCACGATTGTGGTCGTGGAGTAGGTGTGGATACCAGCCTGCTTCTCATACTATTGATTCATGCTCTCCTGCTGGGTCACTGCCTTCCCCGAGCACAGTGTCCCATAAGTGTTTTGGGGAAGATGGAGCTGCCCACACCACCACAATGAATCAAAAACAATTTTTTATTGGTACGTGTTTGTAGTCCATAATGATTATATTCATCATGGGTAGCTGGTATGTATACATGACATTTCTCAATATTTTTTTAATCCTCTCTTCCCCTCCCTTCCTCCCTCTGTCTCTTGGACCCCCCTTTTTGGGGGCACAGGGGATCAAACTTCAGCTCTTGCGCTTGCAAGGCAGGTGGCAGAACCACTGAGCTAAATCCCCAGCCCTGTTGGATCCCTTTTTGAGACCCAGTCTCACTATGAAGTTCAGGCTGGCTTTGAACTCACTATATAGCCCAAGCTGGCCTTGAACTCCAGGTGACCCTCCTGCCTCAGCCTCCCAAAAGCTGCGATCACAGGCATGCCGGACTGAACCTGGCTTTAAATGACCTTAAAAGCGAGTAAAATGTGTCCCTACAGAGAAAGCAGAAATCACGAGAAGCCCGGGTACCCTGGGAGTCTGGGGCAATCTCAGTAAGCCAAGCTTTGGTCCTTGGCGCTCAGGAGAGTTGGGGATGGGCCAGGAAGGGGACATGGGAGTGGGCTGGGGACCCCCGCAGGGGGGACAGCCCTTGCAAAGCTGCACTTCAGTGACAGTGACCCGGACAAAGCCACCTCCCAGCAGAGAAATGTTGTAGCTCAGTCTAGGCTTGGTGGGGTCGTCTCTCAGGTCCTGCTGTCACTTACATTTAGGGTTAAATGCACACATTTCTGGTGGACACAGGAGGGAGGTGATGCTGCTTGACCTGCGGTGGGTCACTTGTCGGGAGCTGGGACCCTTTGGGTTTGTCTGGCAGGAACAGGGGCTACCAGGAGACAAAGTGTCTCTGTTTCTCTTTCCCCTCTGTTCACCAAGCCCTCCACCAGGCTCTGGCCTCTTATTGGCCAAACCCCGGGGAGGCAGCTCACCCAGCCCTGACCCTGACCAGGTGGCCCAGAAGCAGCCGGCGGGGCTCCCCTCCCCTCCCTGCAAGGGTCAGATGTGTCCGAGGGCAGCCTCACAGCAGCACTGTGGCTGACCATGGTGTCTGCTGGCAGAGCCCTCAAGGACAGCTAGAGACACCACGAGAAGCTTCCAGATGTGAGCACTTTAGGAAATAAAGCCAGGCTGCACTATAAGCAGGACTGTGTCTTGACACCCCCCACAAAAAAAGAAAAAATATATAAGTCATGGCACACAGTAACCAAAAAGACAAAAAAAACCCTGAATACAACATGGTCCAAGTGTCTGAACAGACATTTCACTACTAAAAATATGTGAGTGGACAATGAGGACTTGAAAAGATGCCTGACATCAGTAATTTTTAGGACATACAACCAGAGCCACAACAAAACAGAGCTTTGTGGCACACATCTGTGATCCCAGAACTCTGGAGGCTGAGGTTCCAAGAGGATCCAAGTTTAAGGCAGCCTACTTAGTGACCTAGTGAGGACTCATCTTTAAATACAAAATAAAAAAGCCGGGGGTGCAGTTCAGGGAGAAGGCCCCGGTTCTATTCCCCGGAGGGGACAAATGCTGTGTCCTCACATGGCAGAGGGGACAGAAGGGACAAACCCCAGCACTAACCCTTCCTGCAGACAGGACCCATCACCTCATCTCCCATACGCCCCACCTCTTAACACCTGCACTGGGGATTAATATTCATCATGAAATTTGGAATGAAAAACCATAGGAAAGTAGAAGAAAAATGTATGTAAGCATCCTAGCAAGCCAGGGGAAGGGCCCATGATCCAAGCAAGTGCAGTGCAGCATGACGGTGAGGTGGAGATGCAACTTCCCCGGGCTCACCCGGCCCTCGGCCCTCCTGACAAACCTGTCCTCACCTGCCCACCGTGGGCCTGGGATGACGGTGCTTGGGACACCAATCAGGAATCCACTCACCACTCCAGGGCCTGGGTTTTCGCTTCATTCTGCAGTGCAACTCAGCTGTCTTCAGAAAATCTCTGCTTCCACGTTTGGAGGACAGAAAATTCAAGATCCACATGGGCTACTTGGTGCCAGGCGGGGAGGTACCGTGAAAGGTCAGTGTTGGTACAAGCAGGTTTCCCTGCCCAAGCTGTGAGGATGGAACAGCTCCAGCCAAGCACACCAGTCAAGCCTGGGAGAAGCCATGGATCCCTAGGAATAATCGAAAGAAAGACCTCCCTTTCCTTCTCACAACCTAGCATTTCTTCCGGTTGATTGTATGAGAACAATGTGTGTTTAAATGTGTGTAACATAAGTCCTTAGGCTGGAGGAAACCCACTCAGGTGCAGAGGGTAACATTGTCATAGAGTGCCATGCTGGTGTGTGCCTGGAGTCCCAGGTCCTCGGGAGGCTGAGGCAGGAGGATCAGTTGAGCACAGGGGTCTGGGACCAGTGTGGGCAACATGGGGAAAGTGAGAGGGAGCAAAGGGGGGTGGTGTGTGCCTGGAGTCCCAGGTCCTCGGGAGGCTGAGGCAGGAGGATCAGTTGAGCACAGGGGTCTGGGACCAGTGTGGGCAACATGGGGAAAGTGAGAGGGAGGGCAAAGGGAGGGGAAGAGGGGGGATAGAGGGGAGGGGGAGGGGAAGGGAGAAGGGGAAGAGGAAGAAGAGAGAAAGAGAACAGATATGCACCAGAAAGGACTTTACAAGAACTTTATCCCAATTGTCCTCACTAATAGGAGCAGGCATGCACACTTCATATGCAGAGTGTGAGGAAGCTGGCAAAACTTCAGAGATGCAGGGACAGGTTCACTCCCACAGCACACCGATTCTGTGGGGTGGGGGTGGGGTGGGCATGATGTTTCCAGGAGATTCTGAGAGTCAGGCAGTAGCTCAGGGAAAAGCACTTTCCTTACATGCCTGAGGCCCTGGATCTCCCACCTTTCCCCAGAGCTACAGACAGAAAGAGTGAAATAAGACAGGGTTGCGCCTTAAGGAGATTTAGCTTTTGTGGGGTTTGTTGTTGTTGTTGTTTGTTTGTTTGTTTTGGTACTAGGGATGGAACTCAGCACCTTGAGCTTGCGAGGCAGGTGGCAGCACCATGGAGCTAAATCCCCGGCCCTGAGAAAGAGATTCTGGAAAACACAACAAAACCCTGGCATTTGTTTGTCCATTAAATCGGTCTTGAAATTCACTGGAGCTTTGATGAGTGTTAAATTGACAGGCAGAAGACGGGCAACCAAAGACAGGCATTCTTCCCCTGAGGCTCACTGATGTCCCGATGGGCTCACAGATGGTGGCCCGCGCATGGCATCTGGCTGGTTCTGAAGGGCTGCTGATGGGCCCTTGCCTTCCGCTCAGACCTGTGGGGCAGATCCGGGACCTGGCTTAGCCCTACCAGGTTTCCTACTTGGAGGTCACACCTGCTCCAGCGTGGATGTCACCCACCCTGCTCCAGGAGCTGGGACCAGCCCGTCCCCGCCACTTCCGGTGGTGCAGCAGGGCCTCCGGTTGTTTCCTCCGTTAGAAAGGAGGCGCTTGATGACATTTTGCGGTTAGTCAGCATTTCCCTTTTCACTGCTAGGGATTGAACCGAGGGCCCTGGACATGCTGGGCAGGTGTGCTACCACTGAGCTACATCCCAAGCCCTTTTTGTCTATTTTGAGATCTGGTCCGAGTTGCCCAAACTGACCTTAATTTTCGATCCTCCTGTTTTTTTCAGCTCCCCCAGTAGCTCAGATTACAGGTGTGCACCACCACGCCCAGCAGTATCTCCCCAGTCCTATCGTTCTGTCACACTCGTAGAGTTCTCCACTAAAGGAGACCCACAGGGTGTACATTTAAGAGAAGATTTATTTGGGAGCTTGCTCACGCAGTGTTGAAGCTGAGAGGTCCAAAGACCTGCCACCTGGTTACAGAGCCTGGGGAGCCAGTGGTGTGATTCAGACCGAGGTAGCCCAAGGATCAGGAGGGAGACAATGGATGTCCCACTCCTAGCGAGAACAAATTCAGATTAACCCTGTCTGCCTTTCTGGCCTTTTTGTGCCTGTGTCAGTTAACCTGGCTTGTCAACTCAATTGGCTTGAAAGCTGCTTTGAGAATTAGTAAACCACACGTCTGGGTGTGTCATGGGAGTGTGACCTTGGGAACTATATCTAGTCTCTGGTTCCTTTCTCTCTGCAAGCATGAATGGAGCAGCTTGGTCCGCCCTGCCTTTCTGCCATGATGTTCCTGCAGCCATCATATTCCTTCCTTGGAGCCAGCAAAACATGGACTGAAACCTTGGAAACCGTGAGCCTAATTAAGACTCTCCTCCTTTAAGTCATGGGTGCTGGGTGTTTAGTCCCAGCGATGGCAAAGCTGGCCAATACAGGCTTGTGAAGGGTTATATGCTGCCTTCCTACATTGGTGAGGATGGAACTTCTTTACTCAGTCTGCTGATTCAAATGCCTGTCTGTTCCAGAACATCAGAGCTATTCCCAGAACTAATGTTTCCCTGTTCACCTAGGCATCCAACAGCCCAGTCAAGTTGGGGCATAAAGTTGACCATCCCACATGCCCTCTGTTGTGGCCTGGCCAACACTTGCTCTTATGAATGGGATTCAACCCAAGTTCCTTCATGATTAAGGTGAAGAAATTATCTTAAAGAGCAGATTCACTGTGCTAGTAGACTATTCTTACTCAACGGCCTACCAAGAGCCATTGCCGATGACCAAAGTCACTGATGACCACAGTTCCTTTCACTACGTCTTACTTCCACAGCAGAGAGGGTCTGGCTCTGAGAGCAATCAGGGTTTCTCTAGTCCAGAGCACAGACTATCCACTAAGGGATGGGTGAGGTTGGCTCTGGATCCACTCACCGTGGCCCCAGTGTTCTAAAACAACAGAAATGCATTCTCACAGTTCTGAAGCCAGGGTGCTGGTTGGCAGGGCTGTGAGTCTTCTGAAGGATCCAGGGGATAACTTCTTTCCTGTCTCTTAGTTTCCACTGTTGCTGGAAACCCTTGGCTTGGGGACATGTCACTATAATTTCTGCTTCTCTCTTCATATGGCCTTCCCTGTGTCTTCTCCCTTTTCTCTACTGAGGACACTTGTTGCTGGGTTCATGGCCCACCTAGGATGATCTCAAATCCGGGATGACCTTACTTTGGGGTCCTTCTTATATTTGCAGACACTTCTTGGCCAGGTGTGGGGTTGCACACCTGTGATCCTAGCACTTGGGAGGCCGAGGTAGGAGGAGGATGATTTTGAATTCAAGGCCAGCCTAAACTACATAGTAAGATCCTATCTCAGAACAAAACATTCACAAAGACCTTTATTCCCAATAAGGTCACATTCATATGTTCCAGTGTATGTGTCTTTTGGGGAACCACTGTTCGGCCTAGTACGATCACCGTGAAACTGATGGGTGTCTCTGTTTTTGCTTTTATAAAAATTTAAAATATTTATTTATTGGCTTTTTGATCCCTTTGCTTCAGCCTCTCCAGTGCTGGGATTACAGGTGTGCAGCACTGCACCTGACTTATAAATTTTTTAAAATTCAAGGATTTTCATATTGCGTTTATCAATTTTGCCTGTAGGTATGAGATTTAACTGAGTTTGTAAGCCCCATTTTATTGTTTTAAAGGAGGATTCTCAGCTTCCTAAAACCTCACTACGAGGGAGAAACAACACAGAAAATAGTCCAAGAATTACTTAATGGGAAACAAAGATCCATGCGCACTCTGGGTGTATGTGGTAGACCAATTATAAAATTGGCCACAATTTCCAGGAGGTTGTTGAACTTTCTGGGGGACTACAGTGCAAGTATGCATGCTACAAATGACAGTTTGTACCTAGGTATAACTCCTACTGTAAAGCAACCTGAAACACGAGGCATTGCCTCTGGGATGAGAGGATGGAACAGCCATGAAGAAACTGGTTGTGTACACTGGAACCATGGTGAGGAAAGTTAGAAGCAAACAAACTGTGACCAAAGCTGTGCAGTTGCGAACCTTGGGAAAATCAACGCTCAGTAACATAAAATCATCGCTCAGTAACATCAGAGAAAAAAGTACCTACTGATCTCGTGGACTTGAACAAAAATCACCTTACATCATAAAAGTGCAGTTACTCAGGGCTGGGTTTTAGCTCAGTGGTAGACCATTTGCCTAGCACAGGTGAGGCCCTGGGTTTAATCACCCAGTATAGCAAAACCCCAAATTACCCTGCATTTCTTTTACCCCAACATGTAAAGGCACTACAGAAGAAAAGAGGAGCTAAAGAAAGACCTGGCCAGTTTTCACGTAGCATTTAGAGGGACACCTAAGAGAACAGAGAAGAATGTGCATTAAATGTGGTTTGGGGAGATGCTGCCAGCAAGCAGATCTAGGGCGATCAAGGTACACCCCACTCGTGTGGGGCGTGACTAGTCTCCCACGGGACTTTAGAATTGGTGTAGGCCAGGAGTCCTTGTTTCCATCCCACCACTCTTCATGTTGGTGTTTCCTGCGGTTGTCCTCCCCACGAGGTTAGCTTCTTCATGACAGGTCAGGCATGTGGGGCAGAGTCCATCTTTCTAGGGTGTAGGTCTCTGGACCAGGAGGAGCAGCCTCAGAGGAACCACATCCAGCCTAGGAGAGACCGTATGATCCTGGGCTTGGAGCTCAAAGTGAAAGGAGGACTGGAGGAGACAGGAAGGATCTTGAGGAGCTGCCACCAGCTGGCTTGGGTCCCTGCTTTAGTAGAAATGGAAACTGAAACTAAAGGACACATTTAAAGGAAAAACATGCCTTCTTTGGAAAGTTAGAGGGAAGACAGGAAAGAACTCCAGCTGGAGGGGGGACATTGTGATACAGGGGTTCAGACTGGCCCACCCCCAGAGGTGGAGGCCAGCTTTCAAGGACTAGCTGGTGGGCTAGGGTCCGGGTGATCATTATCTTAGTCCTGGTGAAGGATGCTTTTGCTTCCAGTGATGGCTCTGTAGTGGTCTCAATCTTGTGGGGCCCTACCTTTCCTGGAATCCAGCTGACCACAGGCTTAGGAGTATGACTAGACTTCTGGACATAGCTGAATGTTCTTATAAACATTTTATCCGGTGTCCTCAGTCTAGAAAGGAAATGTGATCCTGTATATTCAGGACTAATCAACCCTGTCAGGCCAGCTCCTAGACAGGCACTCTCTAAAGCAACATATTCCTGTGAGGAGTTGATAAAAGAGATTTGGCCCAAGACTTACAACAACAAAGATACAAAATAAAAGTCAAGCTTTGTTCTGCTTTTAATAGCATATTGGGTTGGGAATGGTGGTGCACGCCTGTAATCCCAGCACTTGGGAGACGGAGGCAGGATTGCCAGGAGGAGTCCGAGGTCTGCCTGGACTACGTGGCCAGACCCTGTCTCAAAAAATAAAACCAACAGGGCTGAGGATTTGGCTCAGTGGTTCTGCCGCCGGCCTCTCAAATGCAAGGGCCCGAGTTCGATCCCCGGTACAACAAACAAAACCCCAACCAAAACGTATTGGGCAGCCGTAGGCCAGCGTGGAGTGTTGGTTCGTAGCGAAAATAACTTTTAAATCCTGACTGTCCCAGGAGAAAACACATGTTTCTAAAAGGGCCCTGTGTTCTGCTTGTTCCCCGACTATGCCGCGACTGCGTCAGAACAGTGGAGAATAACCACCAGCAGGGCAGACACATCACTTCCAGTTCTCTTCCTGGCGTGTCTCTGTGGAGGGAAGCAGGCGCGCTTCCACGACCTCAGCCTCGGCCCCGCCAGTGACACCCACACCCGTGGCCACATCCTGAGAACAATTTCTTGGAGGACATTTGTCAGCAACCAAAAGGGTACGGGGGACTCTGTCCAGCACGAAGTCCCAGAGCTGGCTCTACCCAGTCTGGAAGAGAGGATGAACACAGGCGGGCGCTTGCAGCCAAGCTTGAAGCGTAACCGGCTCAGGATAGCCGGCCCGAAGCCGGCAGGTCCCCAAGTGCGCGGAGAGGGCGCACTTGCCGCGCACGCGCACGTCAAGGTTCCAGCAGGCAGAGCGGCGGGCGGGCGTCTCCTCG